CTAGCTCCTTGGAATATCACTCTACTGGATTGTTTTATTCTTAGAAACATAAAACCACCGAAGTTTGGATTTGAAAAGACCCTTAGATCATTCTAGTTCATCCCTCCTGTGTGATTAGTTTCACTAAGCACTCGTTGCAGAGACAGTGCCTAGCTTGCCTGTGGATCTCTGCATAAAGCTGAAACTAGTCCTCCGATGAGAAATATAGAAAAATGATGATGTGTTCCATCACCCCAGAAGAAACGACTCAGAAGGGAATCATCTCTATAGGTAGCATTGATACTAAAGAAAAATTGATGCCATCAAGCAAAGTGCTCCTATCAAGTGTAATTGAATTTCAGCTTTTGCTACTTATTCTGTATTTTCTAAATAACTTCTCACTGTTAAAGGAACTTATCCCCCCCCAAACAAAAAAACCACAGATGATTTCATAAAGTATGTTCTAGGCAAATAATAGTAAACCATTTATATATTTAAAAAAGAGTACCCTTCTTCCCTTTTCAAAAAATGACTGCAAATTCTAGCAGTGTGTGCCAATCTCGTATTGGGCATGAGCTTAAGAAGGCATTGGAGGAATTTGTGTTACTAAAGGACCATTCACAAACTTGGCTTGTCTGTGTTGAAAAGGGCTTTGGCTATTTCCTCTGGGGACATTATTTCTAGGTAGGCTCTCACAGGGTTTTCTTGTGAAGGCTGATTCTTACAGAAAATGGGATCTGTGTGTATGAGACAGCAGATACACATTTATCTGGAAATACTGTGCTCCTATTTGTGGATTTTCCTACTGCATTTGATAATGCAAATGATGTCCATTCCCTTTCAATCCTGTAAACTCCTTGGGACATAGTTCCACTCAGGACCTATTTTACCTTCAAATTTGGTATAAACGTCTAACTTGATAAATAGATGGAGAGACTTTAGAAGTCTGAGAGAGTACAACTCTGAGGGATGATAAATGCTTATTTTCCTTTATTTGGTGACTTATTCTTATGGACAGAAGCATTTCTAGCTTGAGATGTTTTCTCAGTAGTGTAGAGGGAGCTTTGTTTTCTGAGAGGTATGTCTTGTGGTAAATAATGTCTCCAAACTGTAGGAGGCTGCTACAGAATTTATCACAGAATTCTGAAAGGTTAGGGCTGAGAAGCTGAGATCCTAAAATTATGCATCATTCTCATTTTACACTTTATTCAGAGGATAGTTACTGAGAGCTGAGAATGAAAGTCAAGTTTCGTCTACTCCGTCATGGTTGCCTCTAGTTCATCAGAAAAAACTCCCATGGGGGATGCTAAAAACCCAACTAGGCCTAGCTCCTCAACTGTCTCCTGGGCCTTAACCTCAAACATAATTCATATCTATTTCATTCCTTGATGAGTCTCATCACACAGGTCAACACTAATCATACTAATTAGATTCTACACTACTAGAATGTAAAAGATACCCCCGTCTGTACCTTGAAGGCCATGTCTGGCTTCCTCAGCATGTGCAGAGGCCAACATAAACGGGCCCTTCATAAGTGCTTTTTGATGAGAGCAATGATTGCGTTGGCCAGTGTGGTTGGGCCCTCCCTTACGGAGGAGGAAAACCAATGGTTGTTGCTAAGCAACCTTGAAAGGACTGGGTTGGTTTCTGACACTGAGTGACCTCCATTTGCGTACTTCATCTTGTTGTGTGTTTCATGGTTGCCTTAAGAGAACTTTGTTTTTTGCGGCATTGCCATGGCCTTGGCAAAAAGGCTCATAGGAGAACTAGTTTAAGCATGGAATTTGGGGAGGTGATATTCATCTGTTAACAACTTACCTGAGTGCACTGACCCTTCTGTAAGCTGTACAGGAAAAGCGAGGAGTTTGGTTTATTTTCAGCACAGTAACTGAGAGCCACCTCCCTGCTCCCACACTGGGACTGATCGGCAACTTGTCCCAACAGGGTCCTGTGGCAATGGGAGCTATAAAAAGAAAATTGGGAGAACAGTCTTTCCTTTCCTAGACTTTTACGATGCAGCTTCTACCTGCTCTTATCTTCTAAGCTGTGGGGCCAATGTGGCTAGTGAAGAACTGGCCTCACCTTCTCCAGACTGTCAGCCGTTGTGGTTAGCCAATGTGCACTAATACATCTAACTACTTCTACTAGAATGAAAGCTGACTAAAATCATGAAAAGAGTTTGTGTCTGTTCATTTGTTGTTGTTTTTTTTTTTCACTGCTGCACCTCCACTACTTTGCCTGATCATTTTAGGTATTCAATAAATATTGATCAAATACATAATAAAATGACATTATTGAACTAGTATGACTAATATGATTCCAAAATACTCCTATTTCAGAGACACCAAAGAAACCAAAATGAGATGATTGATTGAATGTTTAATTTTGCTAAGTCAAGTACAGAAAAAATTATGGATGAAATCTGTCTCTAAGCTTTTTACAAGTTATTTTCACAACAGTATGAGTAATATTTGCTTCTCTGCCAAAATTCATCTAGTCCATCAGGGCAAATAAACCTGTCTTCTCAGCTTCTAAGCCTTCAGTGTAAGCACCTGTCTTTTGAGGACTGAAAACGAGAGACCATTGTGACTGAGTCGTTGCGTCTTTAAAAATAAAGAACGTGGAATTTTTGTGATTGCCTTGGAGTTCAAAATTGCACAGGGGTTCAATACGTAAAATACACTAGCTGAGATGATTGATTCAGAGATCCCTGGTTACTGTTACTAACATGTTGTGTCATGGGAAACACACACATATACGCCAGCAGGGTTACCCAGAGAGTGATCGGGCATCACTGAGGACAGTGCGTGGTGCAGTGAGCCAGCAGGCAGCAGTAATGACTTGCATTGGCTTCACCGCAAAAGACCAGGTCTCCTGGGCCCAGGCAATGGCTTGACCTGGGACTTGGATGCTTGAAGTGAAGCTATTGTTGGGTGCGGGATGCTCATTTGAAAGGGGAATGCCTCTCAGGAAAAAGAGCCAATTGCAAGTTGGGGCTATTGCCATCATGCTTTGTTATTGCTTCAAGATGCTGTAAATGAATTCCGGGGAGTCCAGGGATAGGGTAGCAGAGAGGTGGGAAAAGGAGGGGAGTGCGATGGCCATGGGCCTGGGTGGGGAATCCCACTGCAGTAGGGCTCTGGTGTTCCTCTTGCTGTGCTCTAATGCTGATGAGGAGAAGGGGGGCGGGGGGAGAGAGAGAGCAGGGAGACAGAGAGAGACACAGACCTGCAGGAAAGGAATGACTTTCTCAACATGCCTTAGGCTGCTAAAACTAAAAAAAAAAAAAAAAAAAAAAAAAATTTAATCTAATTCCTCAATATTTCTAACATGAATTAGAACCAAACAAGCATAGTCACTCATAACTCCAAATAATTCACCATTCATTCAGTAAATGATATTCTGTATTTTTAGCACACTCTAGATGCTAGATGGAAAGGTTAAATGAGCTTAATTCATTTGTCGAATGCAACCTAATACGCATATTAATGAGCTGATGGGGTGCAGAAAATTGCTGCTGCCTATGAAGTGTCAACCATTGTATTGTGAAAGGAGGCTAAATGAATTGACACACTGTTGGTGGGCAAATAACCCTCCAGAAAGCCAGCTTTAAAAAAAAGGAAATTCTTGTGTACTGGAAACCTAGTCTGAACACAGCCACAGTTCTCATCTTTTTTCAGTTTTTGTCTAAATGTTCAGAAAGTAAATTAACCAAACGCACCCTCACTTGGAAGCAATCAGAGTGGCTGAATTTTTTGCCGGTGCTGCATCTGCAGAGAGCTGGTCTGCCGTGGAGGGAGAGGGTTAAGGAACACCTAGTTGAAATGGGGGAGGGTACTGACTTCAGATTTACTTAAATATTCATGGGACTTCCTCCATTTTAATCTGCTCCTCTTAAAAAGATGGCTGTGTTTCCCAGCCTGGCAACTCCTCAGCAAAGAAACGCTGCACCTTACTTGCAGGGTTCAGCTGAGTAGGACTAATGTAGAGTGGAAACCCCTTCGGCCACCAGGACTGTTCATAATTCATTAGTGCTTCAAACCAGCCAGCTGAATCCATTGGACAGGCTCTTGCTCCTTCGTGCAATTCCTGATTTCATTGCTCTCCTCTGCCAGGAACTAGGGAGCATAAGCTTCTCGCAGGAACGGAGGGCGAAGATGGGCTTTGTTTGCAGTAGGAAATGCCATACATTTCGGAGGTTTTGTCTTTTCTAAGTTTTAATTTTCCACCACTGGATCTACAGGGCTTTCCTGATCCTTTCGGGATTGCTCTCTCAGAACTGTGAATTCTTTCCAAGGGATTTGTGGATTGTGGCAAGGAGAGCATTCCAAAATGCCTGAGGCAAACTATCTGTTATCTGTATCTTGGGGTTACATCAAGGTGGGTTCGTTTGATTGTGTTCTATGTCTTTGATAGAACGTGGAGCATTTACATCTGTGTGTTTTCTGTAAAGGAGAAGACAGCTGTAATGATTTAACTTGTGTGTTCATTTAACCCACTAGGTCCTCTTACTGTGAAATAGGGGCACGTTATATTACATTGTATTTAAATATACTGTGCTGTGTTTTAATCCTGTTCTTTTTACTCAATTATGTTTTAAAAGATGCTTCCTTTCTTCTTTCATTTTTCCTTAAACTTTTCACATGTAATCCCCTCCCACTAAATAGGTTATTAACTCACATTGTGCTAGTTAATTTCAGACAAATGTGTTTTTAAAAGTACTTACATTTTCAAGTGACATTATCTTGACCCTTATTAAAATTCATTTTCTTGTGTTTTCATCTTCAAAAACAATCAGATGTTTTAATTCTAAGAAATCTTAAGAAAACCTTTTTTCCCCTAAGGTGACATTGAAATAATTTCAAATTAAAGGCGTATTATATTTGGTAAGAACAGTAGTATTTATATAATGGTATCTGCTCATCCAATCTCTCGGTTGCTAGACAGTAAAGTTGGAAATATTTAAAGTGACAATTTGCTCTTTTTTAGGTGGCTAATACATTTTTGTTCTTTATAAACAGTTCAAAAGAATGCTGAACCGGGAGCTGACACACCTCTCAGAGATGAGCCGATCAGGGAACCAGGTGTCTGAATACATTTCAAATACTTTCTTAGGTAAGATATTAATTGGGAAAAACCATCTCATAACTGGAGTTTTCAGCATTAATTTCTACCACCCATCAAGGACATCCCCTGTGAATTTGGAATGAATTAAGTCATAGAGAAATCCACTTAAAATAATAAGTAAAGGCAGTCTTCAAGTGGGGGGGGAAAGCAGCAAGATGATTAATAAACAAACGAAAATGCCCATCCGAGACAGAAGGTTATTATGGACTATTTCTATGACTCTCAGCCACTCCTGTCTCTTTGCCCACTTTGATCTCTGCCTAGACCTCTGAAGCAATGGGGAAGTCCAATCACCCAAACCCAGAGGAAACTCCATTGACTCCTCTGACTTGGTGTTCTTTAAATTCTTCCAGTAACTTGGCTTTGAGGAGAAGTTTTCCCCTAAGGTGTTTTGAAAGAGATATGGTTGAGAAATAATTCTAGAGTGATTTGGTTCATGAGAATAAGCTTTGGAAATGATTTGACCATGCTTTGCTATTCCTTAAAGATAAACGGATGGTGAAGGGGAGAATTTTCCTGTCTCTGAAAGATTTCTTCTTCTGCAAACAGCCTCATTATCTTCCTAATCTGATTCTTTATTGTTCTCTGTTGCTACATTGCTACTGTTTGACACATGACACTGGCCAAAAGGGGTTACATGAAAGATCCTCAATGACGGTTATGCATCTTGCTTGACTATTTGGAATTTCCGAACTCAAACTTAAAGGCAATTCCATTGTATAGTAAACCCACTTGGACTATTTTGAATTAATAAGGCCTACAGAATCCGCAGATCCATACTTCCAAGTGAATGGGTGGTATCTCCATTCTGATTCAGTTGGCTTTTTACTGCTGCTGACGTATGCTTGTTTATAAAACCTCATTTTCCAGGGAAATGATCCATTCTCACAGCTGAACATCACACCCTCCCTTCTTTCTAGCATAGCACATAGCATTAAATCAATAAGCATTCGCCTCAATGCCTTATGGAAACACATCCCTTCTTCTGGTTTATTTTTTAAATCAATCCTGTTTCTCTAACACCAAAGCAGTTCCCGCTGTCAGTAGATCAATCAGCTTGCCCTTTGAGCCGACTGGTGCAAAGCCCACCACATCACTCTGCAGCCAGTGCTCACCAGGCATGATTAACAAGTGCTTTTCTAACTCTTTCTAGTATATAGGTGTCTGCAGACTTGGTTTTCTTCTTCTGTAGTTACAACAACCTTTGTCAGAGAACAAAGCAGAGGGTTTTTTCCTACATCCTGGCTGGCTCCCAGAGGTGGTCAGAAAACATTACAAGCTGATCCTTTTCCTTCCCTTTGAAGGCAGGGATCTTCTGCTGATCATTTCAGACATACCCTGTCCTGTACAACACCCAATTGTTTTTCATAAGTTGGGGGCTGTTTGAGGGGCATTTTACAGGTTAGTTAATGTGAGAGAAGAAAATACAATCAACAGTGCAAGAACCTTCATCAATGCTGCATTTTAAAATATGAGACTTGATGTCTTCTCAGAAGAGACTCTCACTACTAGGGCTAAAACGGCATAAAGTCTCTGAGCCCTTAGTCATCCAAGACTGGACCCAAGCAGTCCTCTTCATTTGTGGTCTTTTATCCTTATCTGCTCACCAAGGACAAGAATACCTTTCTTAGTCTGCTAATTAATGTTTTTTAACATCATAACCTGTCAGGAAAGAAAGCTGACAAGATAATAAAAGAGCTCTCAGTTTCGACACTGTATCTCAAAGACAGTCAAATGTCAACTCTTTCTTCCATATTCTACTTACTATTTAGGCAGATCTCTTGAGGAAAATCAACCACTTGGCTTCGCATTATTCTAAAAATTAAATTAGCCAAAACAAGTTGTTGAGGAAGGTTATTAGAATCTCAGTTCTTACAGACTCTCAGCATTAGGATGGTGCCGTGTATGTGTTTGTGTTTGTGTATGTGTATGTGTGTGTGTGAAACCCATCAAACCATCTAGACAGGCAAATTAGAATGTTTTTTGTGAAAGTACAAAGAGAAATAAACTACCATATAAAAAAAGTTGCCTTACCTATAGAATGGGCGGACTGGTATGAATGACATCTCAAATTTCTTCCAACACTAACGTTCTATGACTCTGATATAGACCAAGTTGATCAGTTTGGCTAGGACATACCTGGCCACCTAGTTTCTCTGTGGCAAACTCTAGGCATGCAATTTGACAGTCTTGAAAAACAAACAAAGATTGTTTCCGAACGCGAATGCAGAACATGAAACCCTTAGTTCCATCTTGTGAGCATGGTGAGTGTTCCAGGCATACCATGAAGCCTTCTTCAAAGATGTCAGATCTGCAAGGACCTTAATGACCACATAGTCCAATTCCTCATTGTCTGAGAGATAAAACATAGGCCTAGAGGAATGAAAGAACTTGACCAAGGTCACTTGGTTAATATTTTCCTGAGCCTGAACTAGGGCTTGGTTCCCTTGGATTCCAGACCTAAATTCTCTGTCAATCCATTACCTAGGAAAGAGGGCTGTCAGGAACGAAGACCACATACAAGGTCACATTTAAGGGCATTAATGTAATGGCTATATTATTTTGGAAACAAGTCTAGGAATCAGGATTGTCGGACCTAAAAAAAAACACATTCATTAACAGTTTCCAGGAATATCAATGATTCTTGTAAGAACACGCAGCCATCTCAGGGAGCATAGAATGAGAAAACCTTAGCCATTTAAATTAAACCTGAAGAGCAATATCTCCAGAAGAGCCTTTGAATGTCAAAATGTATAATCCAAGGAAGAGAGAAATTCCTTAATTCAGGGATCTGTGAAATTTGTGTTGTTCCCACCTAAAGAAATGGCATCCAGGTGGACAGAGAGAAAGGCATTCCCCCATCCAGGCACTTCTCAGTTCTGTCATTGAATGGGTTCCAGGTTGGGTGCAAGGGAAAGAGAAGCTATCTAACTTCAGGGGAAATAAAACAGGACTTAGGAGGAGGAAGAGAGAGATGAAGAAATAAGATGTGGAGATGTTATATTACGATTTAGTTGAGATTTTCAGACAGAGAAAAAGCCATCCTTTTAAATCCCCTATTTACCATCTCAAAAGCTAGAAGTTAGAGTTTTCAAGATGTGAGGAAAAAAGCTTGGAAATTTTACATAAACAGAACCTCAGATTATGTCATTACCAAAGTTTGGATGAGACTGGCTTTGGTGTCTACTTTTTGTTTTTTTATACAGGCCAACTCTTTCCCCCACTGTATTCTGACTGTTCTGTAATTGTAAATTCACTAAGTATTTATTCATGATTTTTTGAGTGTCAGGTTATTTCCACCCTGTGCTTGGCTAAGCATTTAACAGAGGAAATTCCGAATAGGGAAAGTTATCAGTTGTTCCAGTGCCTGCCTAGGGAAACACCCATTAATGTCAAATTGGCACTCTTTGCGAATAATGGTCTTTTGCCTTACTGCAATGTTCCAGACACAGTAGTGGTTCAACTCAGTTACTCGCTGTTGTGGGTAATCTTTAATTAAACAGAGAAAAACAGCTAGTCCCACTAGAAATAGTTGTGTGCAGAGACACAGGAGAATCCAAATCCAAGTCTCCTTACCCAGAGTAAAGAATGGTAGTCAGGAGAGTCAGGGGCTATTGTAGCCTTTTGTTTTAGCAAAAAGTAGTAATTATTAGAAGTGAAGTGACAGGGAGAAAAGTAATTTTAAAAATAATGTAATATATAGTTCTTATGCCAGAGATTGTGCTGCAGGAAAGAGGTTTTTAACAGGAAACTCAAGGTTTGAATTCTATGCTATTAAATCAATGTGTCTGGAACAAAGTAACTGCAAAATAAATACCTGTTAAATAAATTGCCCTTTGAGCTTAGGCAAGTTGCTGACTTCATCTGACAAATGAGAGTGCAGGATTGTTATTGGTTCCTGAACCTGGCTCTGATCATCCAAGTCACTTGGGAATCTTTTTAAAAATACTGATTTGGTAGGGCTGCGTGGAGCTCAGAAATGTGTATTTTACTAAAGTTTCCTGGGTGCTTCTGATGCTGGACTAGGTTGAAAACCCCTAAGTTAATTGAGATGCCCACTAAAATTCCTCCCTAGGCAAAAATCATAGGCTTAAGTCCAGGAGCTCATGGGCACTGGGAGATGACAGTGGCCTGCCAGGAATCAAGAATCGCCTTGCTTCAGCCCTACAGACAGACAGTGAAGGGCCCCTGAGGAGGGGACTGTCTCGCTGTGCCTGCTTTGCTTTGATGAAGAGTCCACAGGGGCCCGTGAGCAGGCAGAGGCCTCAGGGGGAAAGCATGTGACTGTGCCATCATCTGCAAATAGTCTGGGTCCCAGCATGCCATCTGGGAGCATGTCATTTTCAAACGGAGAAGTTGTCTTTGGCTAATTTTCGCTGTAACAAGCAGAGACAAACGTAGGCACTTTTGAAAGCTGCATTAACTCTTTCAGCCACAGGGTGTCATTTAATTCAATGAAGGAGTGGTTTAGCAATCTAATCCATGATCGCCTGTGCACACATCTCTTAGGTCTGAAAGAGTTCATGTACTTTTCAGAAATACTCAGGATACATCTCCCTATGAAGTAAAATAGAATATTTGATTCCTGATATATTTAATAGCATGATATAAAGGAAAGAGCTTCTATAAGCAGGTAGACACTTTTCCCCCTACTAATCCCTAGCTCCATTATTACGTTGTTGTAACATGGCTTTTTAAAAAATAAATGAGATATTGTAAGTATTTAATAACGATAAATATGTTAATAAGTATAATGTCTGTTACAAATGAAAGGCCTGTTATTTATTATCAGAATTAATAAACACAAGACATGAAATAAAACTGAAATTATAGTCTTCCTCTAAACCTCCAGGGGTAATAAACCAAGGCTCTAAAGTAATTATTTTAGAATTATGAGAACTTATTTTTTCAACATATTTTCAGCACATTTCAACTGAGCCTTGTTAAAGTCATGGATTTTTACTTTTTAAAAATGAAAATAAGTGGGCAATCCCCTTGGGTCCCCTCCTGCTCTGGGAACTTTTCTGTCCTCTCAATAAATCCTACTTTCTCAACTTAAAAAAAAAGAAAAGAAAAGAAAGGAAAATAAGCAGAAAATAAAATGAAACCTGTTTTTGTTAACCTGGGTTTGGCTGATGAATATTTTTTATCATTAAAAAATATAAGTTACTCACTTTAATAAGAAGTTGACATATAAATATTAATCCTGCACCTTGAAAATGTAGAAGTGTAATTCTTCTAAATTACACTGAAAACAGAAGGTTTGGGTTTTGAGTCCTATTTTTGACACTTCTTGGACAAGTTACTTAGCTCTTCGAGGCCGCTGCTTGCCTAGCAATGACATGGAGCAACACATAGATCTCCACATTTTCCCTAACAAATCTTCAGATTTCCCACTTACTTCATGGGAATATCCTGAAGGTCCGGTGAGCCAATGCTGGGAGAGCCCTTCCTAAGATTCAGAAGCCATGGCAGATGGCGCGGGTCATTTTGAACATTGCAATGGATTCTCATTGACACATGGGTGCTGAAAAACATCTTCCTTTGTCTGTTGCAGACAAGCAGAATGATGTGGAAATTCCATCTCCCACCCAGAAAGACAGGGAGAAAAAGAAAAAACAGCAGCTCATGACCCAGATAAGCGGAGTGAAAAAATTGATGCACAGCTCAAGCTTAAACAATACAAGCATCTCACGCTTTGGCGTCAACACGGAAAATGAAGATCACCTGGCCAAGGTATGTGTGAGCCCTGTTTGTATGCATGTTGCTTTCTGCTTCGCAGCAAGCAGATGCCTGTATACCTTTTAGAAAATAGTAGGAGTAACTGTTGCTTTATTATTACGCTTTCATGATAAGGAAGCTAATATGGCCTCTTTTCTATTGCTGGGACACCTCGTTGAAGAGCCTTTTTCCATACCAAAAAACTTTTTCTTTTTGTCCTGAGATGGGTTCATTAATGAATAGTTTCTTATGAACGGAGAATCCTTCTGAAGGAACACTGGGGCAATCCAGTAGGCAGGTATGAATTATCCCAGAGGATGTTTTGGGGACCAAGGACCATGGGAAAACCTGCCCTGAATGGCAAGCCTGGTGAAGAACTGAAGAGAAATTGACAGCACTGACTCTTAAGACCAAGCCCCAGTAGTGGAGGGACGCGTAGAAAGAATTCCTATGGGAGACTATGCAGAGTGACGGCTGAGGTCCTCTCCATCTTGTGAGAATATGAAGTGAACTTACTGTGAGCAGTAAGGCCCTCTGACAGCTATCATTGGAGTAAGGTTGATTAAACATTAGGCCAAACCTCTGGGGACAGCCTGGAGCTCTAACTCTGGGCAGTTATTAAGAATGGAATAAATTTCCCCTTGAATCAGACAATCTTGGAATAATCCCACAACACAGGCCTGAATGATGTTTCTTCCAGGTCTGTCTGTGGCCCAGGAGTCCTGGGATATAATTCATGATGGGCATTCTTTACGACCTTTTACATTAAATTGGATTGACTTATGCACATGCTGGCAGCTGAGTCTTCTTGACCTGGCTCTCAGGGATGATAACCAAAGGGCAGAGGAATTTCTCTGAAACTGTTTCTTAACTGTTAATAATGGGTCAGTGAGCAGCAAAGAGAGAGGCCAGGAAATGAGACTAGAGTGATCTCTATTCACTCGTGGCTACCTTTGAAAGCAGCATTGGCTGAGGACAGATGCATGGTAAATATAGGTCAGCAACCAAATGTATAAATAGATACACATTCTCTCTTTTTTGAAAAAAATAAGTACAGAAACATGTAGCTAATCATGAAGAGGACACCCAACCACCCAGCCCATTTTATTTTCAGATTTACAAGCAACTAAAACCCTCTAAATAGATACTCTAATGACTTAAGCAGCCAGTGTCCAAAACATATATCAAAAAGAACGAGGCATGCTGACAGAGCTGCCCTTTCCTGAATTCCTCTCATTTTTTTTTTAACACAGGAGCTGGAAGATCTAAACAAATGGGGTCTTAACATCTTCAATGTGGCTGGATATTCACACAACCGGCCCCTGACGTGCATCATGTATGCAATATTCCAGGTGAGGAAACAGGAACGAAGGTTGGTTTTCCAACAGGATGGCTCTTCATGATTTTTTCCCCTCCATTTTACTTTTCTGATTGAAACTTCCTCCATTTTGGACAGCCACTTACTTATGTTCCAAACCATTTTACTCCACAGGAAAGAGACCTCCTAAAGACATTCAAAATCTCATCTGACACGTTTGTGACCTACATGATGACTTTAGAAGACCATTACCATGCTGACGTGGCGTATCACAACAGCCTGCATGCTGCCGACGTAGCCCAGTCCACTCATGTTCTCCTTTCCACGCCAGCGTTAGACGTGAGTAGCTGTGACCCATTCTGCATACCTGCCCATCCTCTTTTCAATACGATTGCCACATAATATGCAACACATTTACAAAAATTGTGTAGTAGGATTTTCCCACATGGTTGAATGGATCCTTTACTATGTACAGTATCCATCAATTAGGTGATTTATAAAAAATGGATTTCATTCCTTGCTTTGCTTCCTCACATCGGAGTAACCTTGCCTTTTCATTTCTTACCATTGGGAGTTATTTAATTATCAAGCAAGTAACAGGATATTTGGGCAGGGACCATGTATTCTTCATTGTATTCAAAGTAAGGCATACAATGTACCACAAAGTGTCTTTTTCAGTATCTGGGATACAGTCTGTCCTCAATTTGTATATGCCTCTCAGTGGAAGCTGAGCTGGCATTTGAAGACCATAAGGTTGACGTAATCACAGAGAATGAGGAAATGCGCATGGAGTGCCCAACACCACCCCAGGCCCTGTGGGATATATTACAGGAATGTAATATAAAATGCGCATCTAGTTCCTATTAGGAATAAGGATCCATAGGCTTCTTCTCCTAAAATTCATAAAACTGACCATATGGGAAGAATAAAAGGTAACTGAAAATCTAGAACAGAAGAATTAATGATGCTAGAGCAAGGAGGAACTGTGTTTCATCTTGCCAGACAAGATTCGAGGAGGAGGCCGAGACTCCTTCCATCATGGATCCGTGCATCTGTAGGCACCAATGTCATCAGCAGTATGAGCAGCAGGGCGCGCTCTTAATCATGGATGGAAGTGGCAGTCAGGTACTTCCAGACGTGGTGGCCCATGGCAGGAAGGTACGGGCCAGGCCCTATCCAGCCCTGCCTCCGCAGACTCAGTTTGGGAGGCGAAAAAAGATTAAACTAACCACAGTACTATTGCATGGGTTTCATATTTTCTAAGGAAAGAAATCCAAGAAGACTTGGGAAAGTGAGAGGGAGCTGAGGGTGTTTGATCCTCCCGCCCCGAGGGAAAGAAGCAGTCTTGTTTTTAGGCTCTGTGTAATATCACGGACTGGGGTAACCCTGCTTATCAACTGCCTGCTGTTCTTGGCCTCAGACCTTCAGAGAAGGGAAGTTCCATGTGTTCTTGAATCGTGGGATTGGTCTTTATAGGAGACTTGGAAATCGAGCTGACATTTACAGAACAAGAAGATTTAAGTGATCACAGAGGATAAAGAAAAACATCTCAGCCCCAGGATCAGCAGCAATATATACCTAATAAATGCTAGATTTAAAGCATTATGCATGGGTTGGGGCAGAGAAGCCTTCATGACATGGCATGAAGGAGTTTAGCAGCAGATATTAGGTTTCACATACTAGGAATGTTCTCAAATCTTGCCTATGGTAAATATTTAGTAGCTATTCATTGAATTAGTAAGTATATAAAAGCCTGGGGCCATGCCACAAACTCAGTTTTGGGAAACAATTTATTGCATATCTTATGTACCTGGAATTTGGCCATTTTTCTTTCAGTTACTCAGCCTGAAAGCATATGAAGGTTGTACCAGAGCAAAGCCTGGCTTGTTTCTTTGACTTGTATTTGCTGGCATGACATAAGCACCATGCTGTCGTTCCACGGGTCCAGGAAACAGACATCAGGTGTTGACCCCATGAGCATCGTGCTCATTCCTTTCCAAGCCTCAGCCTGAAGTCCTGATGTGGGAATGAACTCTGGCCATCATCCCTTTCACATCAGAGATTTTATGATGATGAACACAGCCTAGTTAATGAAAGAATCCCTCTCCCAACAAGAATAAAATCCACTCCTTGAACCCGAAACTGAGTAAGCAGGATAAGCAAATTGGATGCGGAGTTAACTGTGCTCTTGTGCCCACAGGCCGTCTTCACGGATTTGGAAATCCTGGCTGCCATTTTTGCAGCTGCCATCCATGATGTTGACCATCCTGGAGTCTCCAATCAGTTTCTCATCAACACGAGTGAGTTCACCACTACAACAGTCATTCCAGATAATCGTATGATTCACTGCTTAAGTTTTTTTCCTTCCAATGTTTTCATTATGCATAATAACAAGAGCAATAATGAGGTAATCCTTCCATTTCTCTCAAACTGGTCAGGCTTTCCTGGATACTGTGTCCAGTCTGGTAACATAATGTTTGAGCTGCACAGAGAACTTGGAGAGGGTCAGAGGCGAGCCATAAAAAGTACTCGAAGTTTGAAAAATATAATATGTAAGGAAAGAATAACAGATGTGGAATTATCCAGTAAGGACAGGGAAAGGCTCTGGGACCGTGTGATAATGACTTTCAGGATTAGGCAGGGCTCCCTCAAGGAACATGGTAGCCTACCACTGTCCCTCAGCTGCAAATAGGGAATCTGAGCACGGGAACCTCTAAACAGAAATAAGAGTCCATGAAAAGTACTGGCATGGGTTTCCACATCAGAAGGAAGCATCATTAAAAGTTCTGCATAGTCTCTGCCAACTGCATAGATTTGATCATGGATCGGGAGCAGCAGAGAGAGTAACCACAGTGATTTTCAGGACTAATCCAGCCTTAGAATCCCAAGCCATGCTCAAAGCTTTTGTCATGCTCCTAATGTCTGGTTTCCATGCTAATGAAAACTAATTCATTCTTTCAATTAATGCACTGTCACTAAGTGCTGAAAAATCTACATACTAGTCCTTCTGAGAATATTAGCAATTCCATTGTGGTCATGATTAACATCAAGTGCTGATGGTGTTATAGAAATGCTATTTGAGCTACTGGCTGTAAAAAGTCCTTGTCATCAGTTTTTGACCTTTATTGTAAGAATATTCGGGTGATCTAGGTTTGGAGTGCCTCATTCTTCTATGGAAAGGACATAAACTTTGGGCAGCTACTCATCTGCATGGGTCAGTTGGCATAGTATGATGCCATAAGTCAACCTAGGTATGGGCCTGTTCGCCTTACATGGAAAAATGGTCTTCCTGTTACAGTCCCCTATAGCACTACAGCTTATAAAGCCTGCTTGCGGATCTGTGTTCTTGGCCACAGAAGGAATGGAAAAAGAGTGTGTTCATCTGAGGATGTAACTCACAGCACACTGTTAAAGCAAAGATCTATGAGTAACAGCACCTGCAGTTAGTAGCACATTACTATCATGCATCTGTTATTCTGGATTGAGGGAAAATGTAGTTCCATGAGTTCGATAATATGTTCCCGTGCAGATCTCTGTCTCACAAAAAGATGCCTGGGATTCTTCTGTGTGAAAGGCAGGCTGGAAGCTCTAGTTTAGGTATCCAGATATTTCAGTTTCTGTTGTAGAGAACCAGAAGACAGAAGATGTGACATTAGGATTATTACAAAAAATTATTAATGTTTGGCTGCTACAGTCAGTGAATACTCTAAAAAGCTGCATTATTTGGGTAAAATGAAATTTGATACCATGCATTATCTTTGAAAATTCATAATTGCTAGAGATTGGGAAGTACATAAAAAATATATAGGTTAAAGATCTTAATACATTTGATAAAGTTTAGTGGCATTTTGATTTTGATATTTTCCAGAGCACAAAATATGTGAAGACACATAAAAATAGGACTTAGCTACTCAGGAATGTCCTTACCTAATGTCATATTCTTCATCTGAAGTATAGAGGAAGAAAAATGATTTTGAGACACAATGAATGTTAATCAAAAGAAAGCGTATGCACCAATATCGACTAGAAGTATGTTTTGCTTAGAAATGGACTACTACTTCTGTGTATAGAGAGACACTGCTTCTCTAAGAGGAAATGACATGTAGATGGTGGTTTTTGAAATAACTTGGAGAGAATTAGATCTGATATCACATGGAGATGATGTCAACATTTGAATCATATCCCTTTTCATTAAGTCATCATTTTGTCTTGGCTATTAGATTCAGAGCTTGCTTTGATGTATAATGATGAATCCGTGTTGGAAAACCATCACCTTGCTGTGGGTTTCAAACTGCTGCAAGAAGAACACTGTGACATCTTCATGAATCTCACCAAGAAGCAGCGTCAGACACTCAGGAAGATGGTTATTGATATGGTAAGGTTTCAGCCTCTCTGTATTTCTCACTTACTTTTGCCATTCTCTTTGAAAGACTGAAGTTACTAAGAATTTTCATTCTCTTTCTCTCCAAGGTGTTAGCAACTGATATGTCTAAACATATGAGCCTGCTGGCAGACCTGAAGACCATGGTAGAAACGAAGAAAGTTACAAGTTCAGGTGTTCTTCTTCTGGACAACTATACTGATCGTATTCAGGTATCTGATGAAGACTTTGATTTAAAACAAAGCTGAACCAAACGAAGCCAAACAACAATTCAAAAAAGGAAAACAAACATAAATTCAGTTATTTGTGTACCCTACGGTACTACTGCAGCATTAGGCTTATTTTAAGAACAAGCTAAGGAAACTGGACAGTCAAGTTTCTCCTCTAATTTATGAGGAAAAACACAGCCCTATTTATTGAATTGTTTAGTTCTAAAAATAAGTTGCAGAATCTATTTGCAATGGGGCATACGTGACTGTTGATCCCACAAGCTCATGCTTCAATTTGAATCCCATTGGCTTGAAGTCTGCTAGGTCTGTTTTGGATATACAAATTGCTGGTCTTTTTTCCACAAGTGGAAAATATGAAGATATCTACTTTCAGTAATTCTTTGCATTCTTTCCAAATGGAAGAGAGGAAATGATAGCAGCATCTGACCTCTCATGTCGCTCCCAGCTTTTAAATCCAATGACTGTCAGTGTAAGAAGCACATCTTTTCCTCTTTGGGACTTTATAATGGTAGATAGCTGACCCAGGCCAGCACCTGGTAATACTGCTTTTTTTTTGGAGGGGGTGCATGCATCACAATGATAATGCAACTAAAATGTTCTCGAGTTTGGTACCAAGTGTACTCGTATGCAAGGCATGAGATGTTCTGGAAGTATTTATAGCCATTTTTATGGGATTTCCAAAACTTGATTTCAGGTCCTTCGCAACATGGTACACTGTGCAGATCTGAGTAACCCCACCAAGTCCTTGGAATTGTATCGGCAATGGACGGACCGCATCATGGAGGAATTTTTCCAGCAGGGAGACAAAGAACGGGAGAGGGGAATGGAAATTAGCCCCATGTGTGATAAACACACAGCCTCTGTGGAAAAATCCCAGGTAAATAATCTGAGCTCTTCAACGTTTTGGTGAGCTCTGCTGATTGTAGAACTCGGGGGTTCTATCTAGCCCTTTCTTGTCACAGAATGTGTATACAAAACGATAAGGAAGCAGCTATGCTTGTAGTTTTATTATTCTCAAGGCTTATTTGTATTCTCCGTTGCACTCAGCTTCTCAGGGTGAGGAGCTAGCATCAGGCATCAGAAACCCGTCAACGTTTGCACTATGTATCCTCAGACCATTTATTTTTTTTTTTTTATTATTTATTTTTTTGAGTTGGAGTCTCACTCTGTCGCCCAGACTGGAGTGCAGTGGCTGCTCCTGGCCACCGCAGCCTCGACCTGCCTGGCTCTGGCGATCCTTCCCACCTCAGCCTTCTGAGTAGCTGGAATTACAGGCATGCGCTACCATGCCTGGCTGATTTTTTTGATTTATTGTAGAGATGAGGTCTCGCTGCCCAGGCGGGTCTCGAACCTGTGGGCTCAGGCAATCCACTCACCTTTGGGAGCAAAGGCGCGGGATTACAGGCTGAGCCACCGAGCCTGGCTCCTCAGATCATTTAGATGGTTGTCTATGACCCTGGCAAATCTGGCTGATGGACCTGATCCCTGCCATCTCCTCCATCCCATCCCTCCAGGTTTCTCCTAGCTCTGTCTTCAGCTGGGAGCTCTACTCCTCAACCTTATTTCCAGCCCCCTGTTTTTGCCCCCTCTCCATAATCAAGCCCACGGCCACCATCGCCGGAGGTCCTCACTTTTACCTCATGCTCAAAGCCTTGCCCAGCGTCCCCTTTCAAGTTTGCGTCATGCCTTTGAGAACATGATGACGCTTTCTGGTTCTGTCTAAAGCTACATATTTTCTGTGGGCTAAAGACAGGGAACTATACTCTGGAAGCAGGTGGGAGTACAGAAATGCCCCATGTGCCAATAGCTACAGAATATGTAGCATTAGAAAGTATCCACACCCCTACAAAGACTTCAGAGCTTGCTGAAATGTCATTGTCTCAAGCCAACAAATGGAATGAACCAACTAGCTGTGACTGAGAATGGGTTCACAGACTATCCAAAGTTTTTATCGCCAAAACATTTGGAGTGTTTGTGTTAGTGTCTATCTTCTTTCCCCATTACCTGCAAACTCCAAATTTGCATATACTTGTAATATCAATGTACAGTTTCTTTGCGATTTGTATTTTGTTGCTCCTTAGAAAAACCAAACTAAATGAGTTTAGAAACTGTGAAAGTGATCTGAAGTCTAATGTGCTATGAATATGCAAGATAATATTAAGTCAATTAGGGCCAGTTTAAATACCCCAAAGCCTTCACTGGAACAAGATATAAATAAATCAAGAAGCAAAACTCCCTTTTATTCATAGCAGTAGTGTTTTACATTTATGTGATGTTCTGCACCTTTTCCCATACATTATTCTATTTGAACCCCCAAACAGCCATACAAGGAAGACAAAGCAAGTTTTTTCCTAGTTGTCCTCTCAGTCCAGTTGTCCTCTCAGTCCAGTTCAGCAGCTTCCTCCACCCAAACAGGACTCCCTGTTGCCATGACATCGACATCCACCCTGGCCTTTCCCACCAATGTGTTCTGTTGAACCTTGTCTGATTAGTCTGGCAGTGAAGCTCTTGTCTGGGAGCTCTTAGGATTTGTACACCTCTCTCATCCCATGACCTAGGAAATAAACAACCAGTGTCTACTTTTCCAAAAACTCCTAAGCATTTCTTCACAGCAACAAAGCAAAGAAGAAAGGAAATAACTGTACTGTGCTCAGCTTATTCAGTTTTCTCCATTGCCTTGAGCTTGTTATTTTGGGGCCCTGGAAAACACCTTGAAAATCATCTTTCAAATCCATTAAACATACATAAAGAAGGGAAAAGGAGTGGGTGGAAGGAAGAGAAATCTGTGAGTCACGTACAGTCAAGGTCCTGTAGCCAATGTGGATAGAGATGCCCAGCCTTTACTGTACATCTTGTTTGTTAAGGCCAGGAAAGTACAAGAAAGAGGAGCACACAATACACACATGCACGTGTGTACACACACACACACGCACGTATGTACACACACACACACACGAAAGAGTCATATGTGACCAAAGTTCTTGTACATAGTACAACATGGATATATTGAAGGACTGGCCAAATACCCATAAAGGAAAGTTCAAGTTTCCAGTTGTGTGGAAAGAGACCTATAAAATGTCTCATGGATGCTCTGGCCCAGCTCCCTCTGAATGCCCACCCAACATCTCTCCAGCTCCCTAGACCATGACAGGGGAATTCCAGTCCCTCGTTCCACCGGTGCCTGTTCTCTGTCTCTGCTTGCCCACGCCCCCAGTGTTTCCTGTTTGTCCGACAATGTGGAGGTCGGCGTAAGGTCAGGATAAGCTCATGCAGGATGCATAGTCCCTGGGTAAACCATAACACGGCCATAAGCTTCACAGTTATTCAGAGGAACACCAGCAAAAGGAACTACTTAATTGTTTTTATTTTCCCTTCTTTCTCCTGATGGAAATGACGGTGTCTTCTATGGATCCCAAGTAACTGCAGAGGGGATGTGCGTTTGTGTCAGGGTTTGAAGTATTTTCAAGTATCTTATCAAATTCCTCTACCAGCCAAAAGCACCCCATAGAACTTGAGAGTAGGGCCAGTTCCCCCATTATTTTGGAGCAGCAGCATATTTTAAAATTATCAAGGAAAGCATACCGAGTCAGAACACAGCAGACCTGGGGCTTCCTTCTTCAGAGAGTGACTCAGAGTCCAAGTAGTGACAAAGTCATTCTCAGCCAGGGTTGCATCCAGACTTCTTCTTTGGCCCATGTAAAAGGAAAACCAGTCTGTGGCAGTGAGACGAATGCCAGCAAACGAAGCTGGGACTGAGGTCCAGCCCGACCACTCTCTGGTCGTGTGACCTCTGACAAGATATTTAATCTCAGGGGGTCTGAGTTTCCGCCTTTGTAAATGGCAGACAGCAATACTTGCCTTTCGGGATTAAGAGAGAGCACACATCTGTTGCATCCAGACCTTCTCTATCATGAGTGCTCAAATAACAGAATCCCTTCTTGATCTCTCTGGCATTCCTGTCGCTCATTCTTGGCATGGAAACCAGGACTGCTTGTGTGGTTTCCGAGGGTCCCTCACAGTAACAGACATGCACTTTTGTTTTTCTCCAGGTTGGCTTCATTGACTACATTGTCCATCCGCTGTGGGAGACCTGGGCCGATCTGGTTCAGCCCGATGCTCAGGACATTCTAGATACATTAGAAGATAACAGGAACTGGTATCAGAGCATGATACCCCAGAGTCCCTCCCCACCCCTGGAGGAGCAGAACAGGGACTGCCAGGGTCTGATGGAGAAGTTTCAGTTTGAACTGACGCTCGAAGAAGAGGATTCCGAGGGACCTGAAAAGGAGGGGGAGGGGCACGGCTACTTCAGCAGCACAAAGACACTTTGTGTGATCGATCCAGAAAGCAGGGATTCCCTGGGAGAGACTGACATAGACATTGCAGCAGAAGACACGTCCCCGGTTGACACATAATCCCCCTCTCCATGTGGAGATGAACATTCCACCCTTGACGAGCATGCCAGCTGTGTGGTAGGGCCAGCCCGCCATGGGGGCCGAGGCCTGCACGGGACGAGGGCCACCTGGCCTTTCCAGTTACTTGAGTTTGGAGCCAGGACACAAGACCATGAAGCACGTAGCAGCTCAGGAGATTCCCACGGTTGGCTTGCCTTGCTCGCAAGCTTGGTGGCGTGCTGAGGCTTTATGTGTTATGGAGGCCGGTTCTGATCATGACTGAGTGGCTTGAAAATGGAAGACACCAAACTGAGAGATTGTTCTGCACTAAGTTTCGGGAACCCATCCCTGCTAGTGACTGAACTCACTGACTAATAACTTCATTTATGAATCTGCTCACCTGTCCCTTTGTCTGCCAACCTGTGTGCCTTTTTTGTAAAACGTTTTCACATCTTTAAAATGCCTGTTGAATACCTAGAGCTTAGTATCAACTCCTATACAGACAAGCAGTCAAAGTTGACATGGACTTTTTTGACCGTTTCTGGGGGGAAAAAAAAGGAAAGAAAATGGTCTTCCTTCTTTCTTGGGCAATATTTTTCACTTGACTGCAGTTACTTTTGCAAACAGGCAGAAAGGGTGCATGTCTGACCACATCCTACTTCCTTCCCCAGCTGTCCAACCCGACACCACAGCTGCTGTTAGAACTTATCTCTGTTTGCTTGCTCCAAACAGTATTTTGTTCTCCTCTGGAGTTTCACCTTTTTGCTGCACACACAATGAAGTTGAACAAACGAGGGGTTAGGAAGGGGCAGTTGTGTTGTGCACCATAAGAGTCTGCGTGGAACTCAGAAGTGTGCCCCGCCTGTCGTGTCCTGGACCCATCTCTGGGACAGTATGGTCCCCTGTCCTGTCCCCTCCTACCCGCTTCACTGCTGTTTTGATGTCACGCTGCCGTCTTGCTCTTGTACTGCCTCTGCGCTAACACTTCTGCTCCTGTTTATAACCATGTATTTATTACTTAATGTATATACTGTAATGTTTTGTAAGTTATTAATTTATATATCTAACATTGCCTGCCAATGGTGGTGTTAAATTTGTGTAGAAAACTCTGCCTAAGAGTTATGACTTTTTCTTGTAACGTTTTGTATTGTGTAGTCTATAAATGTCACTTCAGAGAGACATACAGCCCCCTTGGCAGTGAGGACGAGGTGGGCCGCTTCCTTGCCTGAGTTGCTAATACTAAACCACCTTTTATGAACCCGTTTTGGAAACAGGATTCTCACATTAGATACTAAAATGATTTATACTCAGCTTTTACTTTTGTTTAGATGGATTGGGGCTGGGGGCAGTGGACATGGTTTTCTCCCATGTTCTATCCAAATCTGTGTAGCCATGACTTGGGTTATAACTGGGCTCAGCTGTCATCGTGACTACAAAAGCGACACGACATTGGCTCACAGATGATTCTTCTGAGTGTTCCCAAACTACTGGCTTTGAGCGAGCCTCCTGCCAGCCCTGAAGCAGGAATATCATGTTCAAATTCATCACAAAAGAAAACAATAGAATAATGTGAATTTTTATAATAAAATGTGAACTGATGTAGTAAATTATGGGAATGTGAAGCTTCTTCTGATAACACTTGTTAGACCTCTTACCAGTGTCAGTTTCAGTTTGTGAAATGTGTTTCCTGCTTTCAGTTCAGCATTGTGACTCCATAGTTAAGAAAATGGCACAAATGTGCATGACCAATGGGCTTGTATGTCTATGAACACTGCGTTGTTTCAGGTGGACATTTTATCGCTCTCAAACGTTTCTCACAATGTATGTTATAGTATTATTATATATTGTGTTCAAATGCATTCTTAAGAAACTTTTATATGAGGTGAATAAACAGAAGCATGATTAGACTGTAGGCCCAATTGTTTCATGATTAGTTCTGACGTATTAAAAGCAGATCTTTCTTTTCTCTTCCACTGCTGCTCAGAAAGAAAGCCAACCACTTTGCCCAGCCAACATCACAACGGAAGTTTCAAAATCTGTATCCAGAAAGTCCCCTGTTGGGAGCATTTCACTTTTTTCTTAGCAACTATTCACCCAGCTCAACGGTGCGTGAAGGGCGTTGGGGAAGGAAAACAAACAAAACCACTCTGTTCACCTCGAATGTTCATCTACCTCTTTGAGAATCCGAAGAGTTTAATCTAATGGATAAATGAAGGGAATCCCCAGCTGGCTGGGTCTTCTAGGAAAGTGAATCATAGATTACAGAGCATTAGCATAATGTAATCAGATAATCCCCTTGATTCATCTGACACATGAAGAATCTGACCTCCAAAGAGTCATCTGAAACCACAACCCAAAGAACATGGGTGGACACTCACAGTCTTCTCAATGGCCCATGCAGTCTCTTGATGATCATGTGGCTATGATTTTCTTTCTGGAAAGAACTGTCTAAATATTATAAGAAAAATGCTTAAATCTTACAATCAGCACTTAGAAATATTTTATCCCAAGAAGTATGTGTATACAATATGTATGTGTATGTGTGTATGTAGTGTGTAAGAAGTGTTTGTGTTGTGCGTGTGTGTTGCAGAAGGGTGTAAACAAGAATTAGTGTGGCTCGTAGTAATTTAACCACAGAGAAGTGGTCTGTGAGCCAGTAAGAGGGTCTGCTCTGAAAGAGCTCCCCTCAATAAGCTGAAATGACTGTGTTTCTTTATAAAGACAAATGAAGACGAGCCAACATTACAGAACCAGCTTGCCTGCTGGTTGCAGAGCTAAGGTGCCCAGCACTTTCCCCCAACTCTGACTTCTTATTGCACTTCACCATCTCTGAGCATTTACAAATTGAGTGACAAAAGTGAATTGGTTACGGTAGCCACAAGTGTGAATTTTATAATGCTACAGCTATAAATATTTGCATGCCTGTTTTCTAGTAAGAAGAGGTCCTTAATTTACCCTCATTGCAAATGAGAACCGGGCAGGAAATAAATATTTTTTTTAAGTGTTTGGGTTAGGACACGGTGGCTCATACCTGCAACCCCAGCACTTTGGAAGCCCGAGGTGGGAAGATGGATTGAGTCCAGGAGTTCAAGACAAGTCTAGGGGCAACATAGCAAGACCTCATATCTACCAAAAATAAAATAGAATAAAATTAGCCAAGCATGGTGGTGCACACCTATAGTCCCAGCTTCTCTGGAGGCTGAGGAGGAAGGATCATCTGAGCTCAGGAGGTTGTGCTGCGGTGACTTGTGATCCGTGCCATTGCACTCCAGCCTGCATGATAGAATGAGATCTTCAACTCAAACAAACAAACAAAAGCTTGTTTGGGGCACATCCTCCTTCTGGATTTCTGATTGAATTGGACATGAGTGGAGCTCTGGGCATCAGATTTTTAAGAATTTTCCCCAGGTAACTCTAAAGTGCAATTGGAGTAAAGAACCACTACTCCAGCACAAGGAAACATTCTTGTAGCTGAGAGATCCCTCCCCCACCTCAATTGTCTTTGAACATTCAATGTACACTTACCATGGTCTGCAAGTCATGCCTAGTATAGCTATTCTCAATAGCAATTTTTCTTATATCCTAGTTTTATCATTCTGACTGGTTTCTAACCTAACTTCCAGGTAAGAGGAAACTGCAGTTTCATTAGTGTCTTACTTGGAAATTTCAAGAAATCTAGGCCGGAATCAGGCATCTAAGCTTACTGAAACCTTCGTAAGGGCAGAGACCATGCCTGGCGCTTCTTCTGTTTCTAGTGTCTAGCATCATACCTGACACAAAACTGTTGCTCAAACATTTGTGGATTAATCTAGATGCTAATGAAAGCAAAACTTCAGTTAAGAGAAAAATTAGAAGGATATACATTCTAGGCAATTGAACTCTGAGTTTCTCTCACTCGACTGCAATGATCTGTTTTCAGATGTCTCTCCACTCAACACTGAATTACCTCCAACACAGTACAATGTTTGTTGATTGCTCTCTTTGGTAATATTTGTATTCTTTGCCAACAAACACTGTGCTGGCCCTAAGCAAAAGGAGTACCCAGTGATGTTTGGTGAGCTAATGACTCAAGAAATCGGATGGGACTTTTTTTTTAATTACTTGATTCTCAAGTATTCTTCTACTTGATTCTCTTGGGGGAAGGAGTAGTGAATACTGGGACCTCATCAAACTGAAAAGCTTCCGCAAATCAAAAGAAATCATCAAGAGAGCAAGGAGATGACCCACAGAATGGGAGAAAATATTTGCCAACTGTAAATCTGACAAAGGCCTAACATCCAGGATCTATAAGGAACTCAAATGTGCAAACAACCCTATTAAAAAATGGGCAAAAGATATGAATAGACACTTCTCAGAAGAAGACATACGAGCAGCCAACAGATACATGAAAAAATGCTCAACCCTACTAATCATCAAAGAAGTGCAAATTAAAATCACACTGAGGTACCACCTAACCTTAGTTAGGATGGCCATCATCAATAACACAAAAAACAACAGGTACTGGAGAGGATGCAGGGAAAAGGGAACACTTCTACACTGTTGGTGGGAGTGTAAACTAGTACAATCTCTGAGGAAAACAGTGTGACGATTCCTAAAAGATCTAGAAATTGATCTTCCATGCAATCCAGCTAACCCTCTTTTGGGAATATACCTGGAGGAACTCAAATCACTCTGTGAAAAAAATACCTACACATACATGTTTATTGCAGCATTATTCACAATAGCGAAAGCATGAAACCAACTGTACTGCCCATAGAAAGCGGACTGGATAAAGAAAATATGGGACATTTACATGATGGAATATTATGCAGCCATAAAGAAAACAAAATTATGAACTTCACGGCAACTTGGAAGGAATTAGAATCTATAACACTCAGTGATTTATCACAGAAATAAAGATCTGAATACTGCCTGTACTCATGTAGAAGCAAGCCCTCAACATTATTATAATTTTTATAATACTATAAGAAAAGGATTGACAGTAGTGGAACATTGCCAGGGGAGGGGGGAACATAACATCAGTAAGGGTACCCACAGTTTACCTATATGATGACCACTTTTGTACCTAACCCTGAATTGTACCCCACATCTTTAAAATAAAAAAGAAGGCTGGGCTCGGTGGCTCAGCCTGTAATCCCAGCACTTTGGGAGGCCAAGGCAAGTGAACTACCTGAGCCCATGGGTTTGAGGCCAGCCCAGGCAACATGGCAAGACCTCGTCTCTACAATAAATCAAAAATTAGTTGGGCGTGGTAGTGCACGCCTGTAGTTCCAGCTACTTGGAAGGCTGAGGTGGAAGGATCACTGGAGCCCAGCGGGTCAATGCTGGGGTGGCCATGAGCATGCCACTGCACTCCAGCCTGGGTGACAGAGTGAGACTCTGATTCAAAAATAAATAAATAAATACAAATAAAATAAAAAAGAAAAACAATGAAAATGAAAAAAATAAATTACTTGATTCTCAAGTATTCATCTACTTGATTCTCTGGGTAAGGAGTAGTGTACACCAGGAAAAGCACATTTGATAAACTTACGTTCCAGGCCTTTTCCTAAACCTTTCCAGCTGTGGGAATTTGAGCAAATCGAATTTTCCGAGCCTAAGTTTTCTTATCATCAAATAGAGCTAACAATAGATAGCTAAAGATGGAATCAGATATAACACCACATACAGTAGGTACTCAATAAATGTTTGGTGTCCGGGCGTATGTACCCATGGATGAAGGGATTAACAAACATCAAAAATACTTCTGAAAAATCACCTTCTGTCTTTGAAAAGCATAATGTCTCAGCACATTTTGATTGATTTAGGGTTCTTCAAATAAAGCTCCAACTAGTCTAGATTTTTCTACATACACTTCAAGATTCCAGGAGAATAAATGCTTTCACTTTGAGCCACCAATATGGGAATATATGGGTACTGATAGGCTCATTGAGTTGGAAGGAAGTGTGCAAATTGTTTTATCCATCCTCTTCAGTGCTATGGAATCCCTTTGAAAACATGCCTGTCTGGAAGTATCCAGGAATAGAGAACTCAGCAAAGTCATTTTAAAATAATGGAAACTGCTTGGTTTCTGAGAGGAAATCACATTGTACTCTTCTAGTTCATCCCCTCTGGTCTGCTTTTTCTGCTTATAGCTAAATAATGTATATGCTTCTTCCTCTAATTTCCTATAGAAGCCAGACTTGCAGAGTTTCTGACTATGTCACCTCGAGAAAGGTTATGTGACCTCTCTGTGCCTCAACTGCCTCATCTGTAAAGCAGAGGTAATAGTAATAGCACCTTGTCATAAGATTATTGCGGGGGTTCAATGAATTAAAGTCATAAAAATTAAAAACAGTATCTTGCCTGTGTACGCATTAACAAACATTAATTATCTACAGCTAGGTAGCATGTTTTCTACATTGTAGCTCCTTCAACCATTTTTCATATTATTTACTTTCACCGTCTGGTCAAATTATTCTGTGCTTGCTCAGATGGACACAGCTTCTCTTAGGATGGGTGTCTCAGAACCAAGCTCCATACTTCAGTCACGACAGGGCACAGTGTGACTCTTGCCCTTCTTTGTTCCAGGCACTTCCCACAGCCCATGATTGTATTCATTTGTGGGGATATCAGTGACTCACCGGATGAGTCATAAGAGGCGTACAGGCAAACAAAACCCTTCATGCCTTTTCCCATGAATCGCTGTTAACCTAAGTCTTCTCCATTTTGTGCTTGTATGATTAAGCTTCTGAACTTTAGTGCAGAATATACTTTTCTGATACATTTTATCTGAAAAACTAGTAGGGTTAAGAAAAGAGTGTGTTCAGTTGTATTGTCATATTTGTCTGTAATTCTCAGCTACAGCACCACCTTCGTGAGCTCAGAGAAGGCACCCAACATGTTTGATCTTCAGTTTTCTTTTTTGTTAAG